GCTCAACAATTAGTTACTGGGGAAACCTGGTAAGGTGCTTTAACTTCTATGAGCCTGTTTCCCCATCCATTAAATAGGAGGTAGGGAACTACCCTACTTCCCTGTGAAGAACAACTAAGACAATGTAAAGCACAATTAAGAAGTACTCAGCTTGCCCTGGCCAGTTTGGCTCAGCAGTTGGAGTGTTGGCCTGTGGACCAGAGAGTCTCAGGTTCGGTTCCCGCTAGGGGCTTGTACAAAACAAAAAAAAGAAGTACTCGGCTTATATGCATGTATGCGTAACCAATGGACATAGACAACAATGCTGGGCTGGGGTAGGGAGTGATCAGGAGGAGGGTGTCAACAGGGGAAAAAGGAGAAACATCTGTAACCAAAATAAATTAATAAAAAACATTTAAGCCCTGGCCGGTTTGGCTCAGTGGTTGGAGCGTCGGCCTGCGGTACAGAGAGACCCGGGTTCGGTTCCCGCTAAGGGCACGTACCTCGGTTGCAGTTGGTCCTCAGCCCTGGTTGGTCGTGCGGGTGGCAGCCACTCGATGTGTCCCTTCACATCGATGTTTCTCTCTCTCTCCCTTCCTCTCTCTCCCTCCCGCTCTATCTGAACAAAAAATGGAAAAATGTCCTCAGGTGAGGATAAAAAATAAAAATAAAAAAAATAAAAAACTTTTTGGACTTAAACACACTCAGCAAAAGAATAAAAACAGATAAAAAATGATAAAAAAAATTTAAGGATGGCAATTACATCTATAGAGGTAAGTTGGGAGGAGGTCACAAGAGGCTACAACAGTCACTGCCATGGTTTATTTCTTTAAAAAAAAAATTATGAGCCCTGGCTGGTTTGGCTCAGCAGTTAGAGTGTTGGCCTGCGGTCCAGTAAGACCTGGGTTCGGTTCCTGCTAAGGGCACATACCTCGGCTGCAGTTTGTCCCTGGCCCTGGTTGGGTCATGCGGGTGGCAGCTACTCGATGTGTCCCTTTCACATCGATGTTTCTCTCTCTCTCCCTCCCACTCTATCTGAACAAAAAATGGAAAAATGTCCTCAGGTGAGGATAAAAAAAAATTTTACAAAAAGAAAATTATGAAAGCCCTGGCCGGTTTTGCTCAGTAGTAGAGTGTGGGCCCGCAGACCAATGAGTCACGGGTTTGATTCTGGTCAAGGGCACGTACCTCGGTTGCGATTCGTCTCGGCCCTGGTTGGGGTTGTACTGGAGGCAGCCACGGAATGTGTCTCTTTCACGTCGATGTTTCTCTCTCCCTATCTCTTCCTCTCTCTCCCTCTCTCTCCCCCCCACTTTATCTAAATAAAAATGGAAAAATTTCCTCGAGCGAGGATAAAGAAAAAAAAAAGAAAGGAAACTATGAAATAAATGGAGCACAATGTTACTATCTGGAAAAGCTGGGTAGCAAGGGCATGGAGTTCATTTTATTACTTGCTATTTTTTTTCTAAAGGCTTAAAATATTTCATGATTTTTGAAGTGGTACAGATTGAAAGCTTGGTTTGTTCTCCACTGACCCTTATACACAGGGCCAGGCCCAGAGCAAGCCTTGTTGAGTGACTGAATGAGTGTCTACATGAAGGTGGCACTGTTTTGCCCCTGCTCTGCTCAGATCCCACCAGGATGACACTGACCAGGGGCAGGGGCAGAAGCAGACAGACCTGCGTGGCCTCAAAGAAAAGTGGGACCTGGAGGGCATGCAGGGGAGCAGGTACGGTTCAGTATGAGGAAGACCCACCAGTGCTGGAAAAGTGAACTCACCACCCTGGAGGCCCACGGTGGGCCAGAGGAACCTGGAGTTGTAGAGAGGGCACTGGCTAGGATGTGAGTGTGCAAGGAAGAGGGATGAATCTGGCTTCTAGCCTGGGAGTTCAGAATCTTTTGCTAGGTGCCCTGCTCCGCCTGCTTAGATCTGGAAACCACTTTTCTGGACCCAGTGGGGTTGTACTCCCTGGGGGCTGGGCAGAAGAGACCTAACTAGGTTCCAGATTTACAAAGACCAGCCCAGAGCAGGAAGAGAGCAGCCAGCCCAGCCTCCTAGTATTTTCTGAAGGAGGGATAAGAAGTCTAGGGAGCAATGAACATAGGTGTGCATATATTCTTTTGACTTAGTGTTTCAGGCTTTTTCAGATATATTCCCAGAAGTAGAATCGCTGGGTCATAAGGCAGTTCCATTTTTATGTTTTTGAGGGAACTTCATATTGTTTTCCACAGTGGCTGCACCAATCTGCATTCCAACCAACAGTGCATGAGGGTTCCCTTTTTTCCACATCCTTGCTAACACTTGTTGTTTATTGATTTATTGATGATAGCCATTCTGACAGATGTGAGGTGATATCTCACTGTGGTTTCAATTTGCATTTCTCTGATGATTAGTGATGTTGAACATCTTTTCATATGTCCATTGGCCATCTCTGTGTCCTCTTTGGAGAAGTGTCTATTCAGGTCCTTTGCCCTTTTTTTTTTGGTATGTGCCCCTAGTGGGAACCGAACCCAGGACTCTCTGGTCCGCCGGCCGACGCTCCAACTGCTGAGCCAAACCGGCCAGGGGTTCTTTATTGATTTTAGACAGAGATGAAGGGAAAGAGAGAGAGAGAGAGAGAAACATCGATGAGAGAGAACATTGATTGGCCGCTTCCTGCATGACCCCCACTGGGGATCAGGCCCACAACCGGGGCATGTGCCCTGACTGGGAACCAAACCAGCGACCTCTTGGTGCAGGGTTGAGGCTCAACAACTGAGCCACACTGGTCGGGCACCCATTTTTTAATTGAGTTGTTTTTTTGTATGTTGAGTTGTATTAGTGTTTATTAAACTGTGGATATTAACCCCTTATCAGATGTGTCATTGGCAAATATGTTCTTCCATTCAGTGGGTTGTCTTTTCATTTTGTTGATGGTTTCCTTTGCTATGAAAAAGGTTTTTAGTCTGATGTAGTCTCATTTGTCTATTTTTTCTTTCATTTCCCTTACCCAAGAAACTCTATCAGAAAAAAATATTGCTACGAGAAATGTTTGAGATTTTACTGCCCATGTTTTCTTCTAGAAGTTTTATGGTTTCGAGTCTAACATTTAACTCTTTAATCCATTTGAGTTTACTCTCATATGTGGTGAAGAAGGTGTTCTAGTTTCATTTTTTTGCAGATACCTGTCCAATTTTCCCAACTCTATTGAATAGACTATCTTACCCCATTGTATGTTCTTGTCTCCTTTGTCAAATATGAACTGATCATAAGATATGAGTTTATTTGTGGGCTTTCTATTCTGTTCCATTGATCTATATGTCTGTTTTTATGTTAGTACCATGCTGTTTTGATTACTATGGCCTTGTAGTATAGTTTGATATCAAGTAGCATGATTCCTCCAACTTTGTTCTTCTTAAGATTGCTGTGGCTATTCAAGATCTTTTGTGGTTGCATATAAATTTTCGCAAAATTTGTTCTAGTTCTTTGAAGTACACCATTGGTATCTTGACAGAAATTGTACTGAATCTATAGATTGCTTTGGGTAGTATGGACCTGGAGAGTATTATGATAAGTGAAATAAGCCAGTCAGAGAAAGACAAATACCATATTATTTCACTTATGGTATGAACAAAGCAAACAAACAAAACAGAAACAGACTCATAGACACAGAGAACAGACTGACAGCTGTCAGATGGGAGAGGGTTAGGGGTCTGGGTGAAAAAGGTGAAGGGATTAAGCAAAAGACAAACAAAAAACTCAGGTAACAGTAGGGTGATTACCAGAGGGAAAGGGAGGTGTGGGGAAATAGGAGAGTTAAGGGGGACATAAATAGTGATGGAAGGAGACTTGACTTGGGGTGATGAACACACAATACAATATACAGATGATGTATTATAGAACAGTACACCTGAAACCTATATAATTTTGTTGACCAATGTCACCCAAAAAATTCAATTAAAAATACATACATACATAAGTCTAGGGAGGATAACAGACTTAGCCACAGTCATACAACAAAAGGTCAAGACTCACACCAGTCTACCTTCCCACAGTCCAGGATGTCCCCCAACCACCCAACTTCCAAGCCCTCAGCCTGGAACACATCCACGGGCCCTGTGGAGGCTTCCAGCTGCTGGCTGACCAGCCTTGTCACCTTCCTGTTCATGTGTTAGCACTGAGGCCCTTGGCAAATATTGTCCCTGGTGGTGAGGCTGCAGGCAGGGCTGGCACCCCTCCCAGCTAACCTTGGGTTCTCCACCCAGCAACCTCCCAGCAGCCCCGGCTCCCAGCAGCTGTCCCCTACCCACCCGGGGCTAGGAAAGTCAGAGTTGCTCCTTATCTCCTAGCAATTAGTAGCTGTCTCTGCTACAGGGGCAGAGCAGGGGTCCTACAAGATTTCTCAGTGGGGTTGGGGGATGGGGGTTGGCAGGAGAGCCACGTTGAAAGTGACAACACCCACCTTTACTTCCCCGGTTCCTGCTGCGCCCAATGGGCTTTGGCTGGTTCATTTCTTAGCCTTTTAACTCCTCCAAGTATCCCTGACGATGAGGTAGTGTGGCCTGCAGGTGGGGGCTTTGGCATCAAATGGAGTTGGGTTCAAATCCCAAACCCAGCTCTCACCTCCTGGGTGACCTAAGACAAGTTACTTAGAGCTGTGCCTCAGTTTCCTCTTCTGCAATGGAGGTGATAATGAGTCCACCCACAAGTGTAAAACCACTAGGGGAGGAAGGCGGCTCCGAATGTAGTGATGGCCTGTTACTACTGATTCGTGAGAAAGTTGGGACCCAGAGGGGAGTGACGACCACGGCCGCCCGCGCCTCCACTCTCCTCGCGCAAGTTCCGCAGCCCTCTCCCCGCAGCCGGCGGCGCCGCGCTGGGCGGCGGGCGGGCTGGGGGCGCGGGGCCGCCGGCAGGGGGCTGGAAGCCGCAGTGCGGGCCGCGGGCGGGTGGCGCAGGGGAGGCCAGCGCGGCGCCCACCCCGCGCCCCGAGCCCAGCCCAGCCCGCCCGCGCCCCCAGGCCAGCCCGCCGCGCACTTACCCGGCGGGCAGGGCGCCCGGGGAGTCGGCCGTGGTCATCGCGGAGGGGGCGGCGGCAGCGTGCCCCGCCGGACCCAGCTGCGGCCCAGGTGCTGCCGCCGGAACCCGAGCCGGGCGCTGTGCAGTGCAGCTGCGGACGCGGCGGCCGGGGAGGGGCGCGCCGGGGGCGGGGAAGGCGGCGGGGCCGGGCTGGGCCTCGGGCTGCCCACCCGCGCAGTGGGGCCACGGCCGCCGCCCGCCCGCGGAGTGCGCCCCCACCCCCCGGCTCCGACTGGTGAGAGGCCGGGGCGCCCACGGCCTGCCTGGCCCACGCCCGGGTACCCTCTGTGCGCAGCCCCCAGGGACCGGGAGCTCGCCCCATCCTCACACAGCCCCACCTATTTGGGGCCAGAAAGTTCTGCTAGACCTCCGGTCCCTCTCCCCTCCTCCACAGCTCCCGCCTCGCAGCGGCGACCTCAGCCCTTCCTCAGCCTACTGCATTCATTGGTGAGGGGCATTCATGCGGAGAAAGTCGCGGCCTCTAGAGTCAGGCTTGGATTTTAATCCCACCCACTTGCCCACTGGTGATTGCGTTTGAGGAGACAAAAAGACGGAAAATAATGCGGTTTAGCACCCACTGCTAGCCAGCAGGTCACACTCGCCTTCTCAGATAATCCCCATTGACTTCCATTTTACAGATGGGAAAACTGAGGCACGGAGGTCGTGTGACTTGCTCAAGGCCACTCACCTAATAAATGGCAAGTTGTGATGGGAACCCAGCTCTCCTGACTACAAAGTCCACACTCTTGCCTCTTACTCCCTTGGCTCCCTCTCTCCTGAAGCCCCAGTGCCTATGGGAGAATCACTTATAACACTCCTCAGATGCCCACTGTGTGCCCAGTCTGAGGTATATGTCTAGGGCCAGGGTTGAAGCCCACATGGTCTCCTGGCAGAAAGAACCACTGGCCCACGAGGAGTTAACCAGCCACCACCCCCAAGCCCCAGATGCTCTTAATCATGACTCATCAGACCACGTGGCTGCCATTAGAGAGGTCCCTTCACAAAGGCAGGGGACAGAAGGAGGAGGGACTCTACCACCAGATCAGCCCTGAGCTCAAGGATGTCAGAAAAGGAAACAGGAGGAGCTTACAGAAACAGCTGTGGTGGGAAGAGGCTTGGACTAGGTGGACAGCCAGGCAGATGGGGCCTGGTGGCAGAGGGGAGAGGTTTAGGAGTGCTGTTCAAATCTAAGCAGGCTATCTGCAAAGGTAGTGAATTCTTATCCTACATATGAGCAGAGGCTAGATGCCCACCCCTGGGATTCTCAGACATAGGCACAAAAAGATTAATTATCTGTAGTTAATTACTACAAGGAGCAGGCTGTGATGACATCAGCATTGGCTATAGAAATTCAGATAAAGGAAAGTGCTACGTGGGCTGGAGGGGTCTGGGGGCTTCCTGGAGAAAGTGGGCACAGAGTTGACCCTTGAAGTGTGTATTATTTATATACAATAAAGTCATGGAAAGAGTGCTCCAGATGGGAGAACAACGTGGCTGAAAGCATGGAGGTGGGCAAAGGCACACTGATGACAGCTGGAGTTTATGAAGCTGGTGAGAAGACCAGCAACATAAGTAAAGAGGGGCCTGGGTGATGTGACTGAGGTGTCCCTATCACATGCCATTCACTTTCAAATTTCTAGGCATTTGCACATCATGTTCCCTCTGCCTGGAGCACACCTCCCTCCCTTCTCACTTATTCATCCATTTAACCATGGGTCAGTCTAGAAGTTTACAATTGAAAGTTGTCAGGATCCTCCAGAGCCTTAGGAGGAACCAGGTGAGTGAAAGGTTCTTTATGCTACATTAACTTCAAGGTAAATCCTGTGTTCAGCCAACATTTACCAAGAACCTGCCATATGCCAAAACTCCTACTGGCCCTGCAGGTTTTAGTTCAGAAGCCGCCTCTCCCAGGGGGCCCTCCCTTCCTGGCTGGGTCAGAGGCTCCCTGGGCACATACCGCCCTAATCCCCTTTGACCTACCCTCATCAGCCTCTGCTGACACGGGCTGTGTGGTGGTGGTGGTGGAACAAGGACCATATCTGACTGTCTCTGCCATCAGACTGGGAGCTTCTGGAGGCTCAGGTCTGGTCAGACATCCCTGTGTCAGTGCCTGACTAATCACTAAACATGAATATTGGGCGGAGCACTTTACCGTTTCCTTCTGAGGTGATGATTATGATAATGATTGATATTCATCAAAGGCTTATTATGTGTCACACATGTGAAGTGTATAACAAAGATTGACTCATTTAATGCTTGTAACCACCTCTCTGAGCCTCAGTTACTTCAACAGTAAAATGCAAATAATAACATTGCCTACTTCAATGGGTCCTTGTGAGGATCAAGATTCATGCATGTAAAATGTGCAGAATCGTGCCTGGCATGTAGCACAGTGCTGTGTAGGTACTCTGATGATGAGGGCAGGGGCAGATGCTATTGTTCTCCCTCTTTTACAGATAACAAGTGAGGCTCAGCAAGATAAGTAGTCAAACTGCCTTCAGAGCTGGAACTGCCCACACACAGTGACAGTGATGCTGGAGCCACATGTCTGATGAGTCAGAGCATCAGAGTGGCCCACCCCTCAGGAGGACTCCACCAGGACAGTTCCCAGCCCCCAGGAACTCTGGCCCAGTACCAACCCTGAGGAAGGAGCCTGTGACTCACCATTATTTCCACCTCCCAACCCAGGGGACCCTGCTCAGCTCACCCTCAACCTGAGCGGACAGCCAAGCCCTGGGGACCAGGAGAGCATCCTGAATCCTGAGTCCCTTCCTCCCCTGCCAGGGAACCTGTTTCCTGGTGCTTGTACCTGGGAGATACCAGGCCTGCTTTTTGCCCTCATTTTCTCCCCAACCTGCAAGAACAAATCACTGGGCTCTCACACTTTTCCATGGTCCTAAGGATCTCCTCGCATGGACGGATTTCACCTGTACCATCTCTCAGGGTAAGAAGGTCCTCAATAAATATTTCTTTAGTGAAACCTCCTCAGAATGCCCTAGAAAGCTCTGTAGTAGCTTTATTTCCCATCCTACAGGTGAGAAAACAGAGGCTTGTACCAAATGTAACTGGGACTCGGCCTAGACATAGCACAAACCCAAGTCTTCACTATTTATCCTATGGGGAAAGTGTGTGGAAAGGGGGGGTCACAGAAATGGGGGTGTAAGCATGTGAAAAGTGGTGCTATTGTTGTAGAAAGAGCTTAAGCTGTGAAGTCAGTGCAGCTTCTTCCTCTCTGAACCTTGGTCTTTCCATCAGTAAACCTGGGATAAATGTCCCAACCTCTCAGGGATATTGAGAGTTTACTGTGCATTACTTTGGGTGACCTCTTGTCTCCTTCCCCTTCTCAGTCCCTTCCTCCAGGTTTTTCCCTGGCATGAAGTGCCCTTGTCCCCATCCCCACTGTCTCTACCAGCCAGAGCTCCCAGGGCCCTCAGCCTCCAGGGCCCTCCCAGTCCAGGGGAGCTGGTGACTGTAGAGAGGGTTGTCTTCAAGTGAGTGAGCCCCACCCAGCAGGTTACAGGCTTGTTAATAATTCACAAGCAAATTGGCTCCTCTAAGGGCTCTTGAAGAGGGCTGTAAGTCACAGCTCTTAAATACCCCTGGAGAGGGGCCCTTGGGGAGGATCTAGGCCTGCTCCTTGGGCCAGCCTCCTCCCACCTTACCAACACTGACTCCCACTAGCTGTGTAACCTCGGGCAAGTTACTGTCCCATTCTGGCCCTTAGTTTTCATCTTCCTGCCCCATATAAAGAGGAGAGAAGACTGGACCAGGACCTCAAGGGTCCTCCCTGCTCTGATGTTCTCAGTTCTGGGACCTGAGCTCTTCTACCAAAGTCTGGTCCCCAGGAGCTGCTAAGGGTGGGTCTAATGAAGGAGCCCCAGTCAGGCACAAGGGACCAAAAATAGTTTTGATCAAAAAGAAGAGACATAGCTCTAATGAGGGATTTCTGTCATTGAGTGACATCTTTTCAGGGGTTAGAACTTGGGGTCCAGAGACAAGAAGATCTGACTGGACTCCTGGCCCACCATGTCTAACTGTGCAGCCCCAAGCACGTCACCCTACGCACTTGAGGCAAGGCAGGGAGTGGTTTAGAAAGCAGGTTTGCAAGCCAGGACCTACACTGCTGCTCTAACACCCTGACTTCATCTCTGAAATGGGGGTATTGATGACACCAACCTCATTGGGTTGTTGCGAAAATTAAATAAAGTAATATACATAAAGCACTTGGAACAGGGCCTCATCATTATTCTTTGATCTTTTGTTTCCTGACCTATAAAGCAGGGACAACAGAATTATTATGAGCATTAAATAAACAAATGGATCTGAAAGAGCTTTGGAACCATGCAAGGCTGTCTAAAAAGAGGGATTTCCCCTAAGATGTGTACCTAAACCTGGCCAGGACCACAGGTATGCAGCAACATGCATTGGACACCTACTATATATACATTCAGGGCAGACATGATACATCACACACTGCTGGCCAAAGTAGAAAGTGGCACCCTCTTTCCAAGGCAATTGGAGCTATGGATAGAAAGCTTTAGAAAGATGACCCCATAATACCTAGGCAGTAAATGTATCTGAAACAAAGATTTATGGTATAAAGATGTTCATCAGAGTGGTATAAAGATGTTCATCAGAGTGTTTTCTATAATGAAGACACAGCTGGAAATAACCTAAATGCCCATCAATAAGGAATTAGTTCAATGGATTATTGTGAATTTATTCGTAGGGTGAACCATTTGCAGATACTTACATTGTGTTTATTTGCCTGGATTACTGCACTGTCTCCTAACTAGTTTCTCTGCTCCTACCTCTGTCCCCTTATTGTCTTTTTTCCACACAGCACCTGATCCATTTGATCAGATCATGCCACTCTTCTGCTCAAAACCCTGCACTCTATGTTTCTTAGTACAAAAGCTAAAGTCTTCACATGGCCACGAGGCCCTGCATGACCTGCATCCCTATATCTCTCTCTGATGTCACCTCCTTTTCTTCTCTCTCTTATTTAGCCATGCAGGACTCCTTGCTATTCTCCAGATAGCCAGCAGCTCCCACCTTGGACCCTTTGCACTTG